TTATTTTGAAATCAATATATATATATATATATATTATTTTTTTATTTTTTTATTTTATCATAATATAAATGATTATGAATATATATATATATATATATATATATATATATATATATATATATATAAAATTTAAAATTTTCGAAATTAGTTTAGCATTTTATTCTCAATTCCACTTGCAAGGTACATTGTTTATTATTATTATTATTATTATTATTATTTTTTAGGTGACTTATTAAGTGTGGTCTTTGTAATATGTATTGAATAATCAACCAAGAAATTACATTTTTATGGAGAAATATACACAAATTAGAAAATTATAATACAATTTGATGAAATACATATATAATTGTAGTTCTATCAAACTAAGTATTATAACCACTAAATCTCTTCAAGACTACCTATTTAGTATTCTCATGTTTTATTAAATAGAAAAAACACTATGTTGTAGGAATATGTATGAATATATTTATGTATGTTTACAAAATATATACGGTTTTATAATGTTTAAGTTATAAAAATCCAATAAAAATATTTGATCAATTTTTTTAATATAGCTAAGTTTAATATGGAAAGGTAAAAATAAATTTATGATCTAGTATAATTAAATATTAGGATCAAACTTTTTAAATTTAGTTATTTAATTTTTATACATTTATAAGTAATGTAGTTAAATCTAAACAAGATTAATTTCTAAATACATGGATTTTAATTAAATTAATCCTCTGGTTGGACCGAAATTACAAATATTACAAATTAGAATATTAAAAACACAAATAAAAAGTCTAAATCTATATATATATATATATATATATATATATATATATATTTAAATCATAAATATAATAATACATAAATATAATCTCCAAGTCTTACACACTAAGAATAAACTATATCATAGTTAGTTATATTTTAGATTTATTTCTTAAAGTGAATTATGAATTTTCGTTTCCATTAGGAACAATAATTATCAACAAAAAAATCTCATAATATTATAGATTTAATTTGTAAAAGTAGAAAAATAAGTAAAAGTGATGTGTTTGTATATAACAAAATGATTTTAAATAAATCTATTTTTATTCTGATATTAAGTTATGATAATTTTATTTGAATTAATCTGATTTATATTTAAAGTTTTTATTATACTTTGTAGGTAAATGTAAATATATAATGCTGAATTAATTTATTAATAACAGAATGGTCTTATATAAACTTATAAAGGAGTTTAATCTATGAATCTCATTTACATGCATTTTAATATAGTTTATTCTGTAAAATATTACAGATTCGTCGAGAATAATTTTATTCACTTTATAGAATAATATATATATATATATATATATATATATATATCTGTAATTCTTAATTTTATAAATATTAAATAATAAATACCTACAAAAAATAAGGCCAAAATATTCTATATATATATATATATATATATATATATATTTCTATTTGTTAGATTTTATAAATTTGCATTTAATAGTTTATTGTGTCTAGGGTCTGAAAATTAACAATAAAGTGTAAAAAATCTAATCATGTTTATATATCATTACTTAATAATTTATGTTTCAATCTCGTGGGGAGTGAGTAGAGACGTTTGTTAATAGCAACTACATTTGATGTAACTATGGTTGTGTTGTTTCTAAGTCGAACATATATCTTTACTCTACTTGAGGTGCACAAAATAGATTTTGCAGGTTGGATATTTTGTGAATGGAAGAGGAGGAGAGAAGGAGTGTGAAGCAGGGCCCATCTAAGGCAGAAATGGAAGTGGGGGTGCTAGAAAAAAGAGGTGGAAACAAGGAACACAAATAAAAACAAGGAATAGAGATCTTGCTTTAACAACTCTCTTTTAATATTACATACATGTTTTTATTCAAAAATATGCTAATATTTTTATTAATATTCATTTCTTTCGAAATAATTTTTTATTGTAAATATGTTAATTAAATAATTCTTATTTTTTTATAAAAAATAAGTCTCATCTTTTGGAATAATTTTAATATTTTCAAAAAAATATATAATTTTTTAAATATGCAAATGTTCAACTTTTTTTTCTATTTTTTTCACAATATTTGCTTTATCATTTTAAAAGTGGTCATTTTTTATTCTTTTATTTCTAACTATATCTATTATTATATAAGCAGGATAAAATATATTTTTTAATATTACATGTACTTTAATTGTAAATAATAGAAATTTTAACTATTTCATCTTCACAAACATCATTGTATTTAGTATATAAAGCTTTTTAATCTACAAAATATATTTATTTCAATTAAGATTTTAATAAACTACGATACTTCTAATATTTAAATAAACGATTTATCTAAGAGGTATTTCATAACTCTCTAAATTTATTTTCTACAAAAAAAACTAATAATTCATTAAAATATTATTCTCAATTAATGTGTTTTTTTGTTTTTAGATTAGTCGTTATTTTATTAAAAATCTGATGTTTTGCATTATTTGTTAAGTTAGAGTAATTTTTTTCTATAAGAGTTGAGAATATAAATCTAAACAAGTTTAAAAAATTAAAAGTATAACATGAGTAATAAAGAATAAATAATAATAATAATAATAATAAAATGTAGGTATGTATGTATATATTTTACTAAATCGACTTACACATGATGAAGAATATGGTAATCATTATGACTATGGTTGATTTTTATTGGTTTTGGATCCAATAGTGGAGAAATAAATCTTGATGTATTTTATTTTATTTTTCATGATGGTTAGGATATGTGGGAAAATTTAGTAAAATTATGGATCTATTTAAGATTCCCATATATATATATATATATATATATATATACACCTTTTAAAATTTATAAATGATACAAAACTAGAATAGAAAATATTTAATTCAAAACGATTGTAAATGCTTAAGGTGAGATTAAAATATAAGAGAGCCATTTATAAGACCATCAATTGCCTTAATCTTGTCTTTATCAATACTATGTTAAAGGTTTTCAAGGACTACAAGACTTGTGACTACATGCTGCATGTAAGAATAATTATAGATCCAACTTCTATTTAGAAAGGTCCCAAAATGTTTTACAAAAAATATATTTGTATGTTAACATATTTTTATTTATTTCTATAAAAAATTCTATGAAAATGAAATAGTTTATTCTGCATGTAATGTTTAAATAGTTGATTTTCAGATAATATGAATAATTCCAGAATAAAAGGTAATGTTGTATTGCAACTTGGTTTTCACTTCTTAAAATAATTTTACAATCACCTCTAATCCTCATCTATATATTTTTCCTATTTTTTTTCTTTTTTGTCACGCTATTATTTTAATCTCATCAGAGCTCTTGCAATTTCCATTCAACTTCAAGCACTTCATGGTCACCCAGTGAATGGGCCCAGGAGCTCCTCCTGATGCTTCTGGATCAGAATAGTCCCCTTCCTTGTTTTGTGCATTGTATTCAGTTTTTCTATTCCTGTGTGGAGTTTATGCCATTCCTCAAGCATTCATCGGAATTCCCTGCATGTCCCTTGTCTACATCCTTCTTCTTCTGCTTTTCGCACTAGAGGCCGTGTGGTACCAAAGAAGAGGGCACTTTCTGCACCCTTTCAAACCATTTTTGACAAAATGTTCATTTCACTGAAAAATTTGGAAGATTCTGTACAGTGCTTGTACAGATCACAGCTTTAGTTATTGACTCTTTTAGGAAGAAAAATTAATTGGACAAGTTTGATATTCTAAGAAGTCATGGTGGGTTGATTTGGCATGATAAGGCACAGACCTGCACACTGCAAGGTCACCTAAATACAAGTAAACAAATAAATCGAAATTTAAATGTTACTTAATCAATAGCATAAACAAATGATGCATTAATTCATGATGTGTTTAGGTGGCCTTGTAAAATGCAGGTTTTAGTAATTTAATGGTAATTTGGTCATTCATCAGCATCTCTCATTTTTCACATTGAAGTGTTTAAAACATCCAATCACAATCTTAAAAGCAGCTATATTTTAAATACATAAAATGAATTACAGATATGGTCAGTGATTATGTGTTTCTAAAATAAAGTCGAAGAATATTAGAATCCAGTAGCCATGATACTCACTAACTTTGTAGAATATCTCACAAATTTCACTTAAATTACATTTGGTATTAACATTAACTTTTAAAACAGAGGAAGAATAAGGAGGAGTAGTACATCTATAGACTTGTCTTCATTTTCTTGCCTGCAAGCTATGAGTAGGAAAAGAAAACTGTATCATCAAAAACCTCCTGACAGGAATGTCAGAGGAATAATTTGAGAAGTATGATAAGTCTAAAGCACCACGAGACCCCCAACCTTATAACATTTCTCTTCAACTCAGATTCAGCAAATCAGCAAAAGGAAATGAACTGGCTGGGATCCTTTTCTAAACTTTATGCTAATATGTCAACTTTTACGAGTAGTTAAAAAGAAAGATTGCGATCACCTGCATGAAATCATTCACCCTACTACGCCCAAAACCTACAAAAAGATTGAAGAAGCTTCTGATTTCCAACTGCGTTGCTCAAATCTCCACATGAAGCTCGGACATTTGCTCAGAACTTTATCTATTCATTTGAGGCCATAGGATTAGCCACTGCACACATTCTTCGAGTTCAACACGCCACATATCATGGAATGTTCTACAGGCTTGTCGTGGTGACCCACTGCAAGATACTCACAGAGAGCGGAATAAAAACAAACTAGTAACATAATCGTTTGGTGTGACTGTAGTAGCACGAAGCATTAGTCTCTCTTATCACAAAAAACCCTTTGTGTTTCGGAACGTGACTTTCGGTTAGAAGCATCTTGTACAGTTCACCACCTTTCCAACCTCACACGAATAGGCACTGTAGAGTCAGAATGGACCCTTAGAGTGGTAGATGGTTCACATACGATACAAAGTGCTACTTCTCGACGTAACTTGATACACAATTGTTTGATTCACCAAACTCTTCAGGGATATTTTCTTTAAACATTGGAATACAATGCCGTAAGGACTGTGTGGATATCAGTCATAAAATACTTCCTCCAGTTCACACTATGCTAAACTAGTGTACCTAGCACTGCACAATTGCTTTCAACAGATTCAATTCCAGAACTGTTCGCATCATATGTTACCATACCAGCACAGGTTTGTTGTACAAGCTCGTAATTAATTCTATTGGTTGAATTTGAATAACCCACACTGGAGATACTAAACACCCCAGCTAACAATTCTGGATAGCATTATCATTGGCTACAAGAGCCCTTGGAAACAGGGGCACATCGTCAATTCCCAGATAAATAGGAGTGATACCTCAAATGCTTAACCTACACAAACCATAACGCGAAGTCCACCTAGGAATAATCCTCCAATCTGTTCAATACTGCCACAAAAACGCTAGTACTTGAATTTTCATCTGCAGCGACATCTGCAAATGTAGTCAACAGACACAATACCTCTCCGTTTCATTCAACTATTTGCGGAGAGGTACCGGCGATGGTCACACACCACCTGGCAGAAGTTATATCTGTTTTTATACATTCTCAATACATTGAGACACTCAGAGCCAGTGACTATCCGATAAGGGGCAGCCTAAATTGGCATTTGGTCGTTGGCATTCCTCTTATCGCCATTGATGGTGCTCAAATGCATCACATGCTCTGAACCATCCTGGTGAATGTATGCTGTCCCTCCGTGCCTTGTCAAATCCATACCGGCAATCTCGTCCTCGGGAGTGATCCGCAGCAGCCGGAACTTGTGAAGGGCGAGAAACAGCGGGCCCATCGTCACAGTCACCCAACCCGTAATCGCAAGAATTTGAACAATCTGTGCAGCTAGCAACCTGCCACCACCTCCCATGAATAGACCAAAAGGTCTGGAGTCTCCACCATAAATTTGCTGAACGTAATTCTTCTCAGCGAAAAGTCCCACGAAAAGAAGGCCCCATGCTCCGCAACCGGCGTGAAGCTGAGCAGCTTCGAGGGGATCATCGTAGTGGTAACGAGCTACATGACCACATATAAACAAACCACAGTGTTAATTGATTCCAAAATTGTGTCAACACAAAGGTAACGATTTCGTGAGAGCAAGACGACAAAAAATAGGCAGATAAACAACAGACTATACATACTCTTTCGAAACTCAACAGTTTAATTCAAATGAACATCACCTTTCCATTTGGACGTTACTGAACAACACTTTCAATTCACACTTTACAATACAAGGAACACCAACCAACAGCCATAAGCAAACGAACACAACTTACAGAACACGATTTCCATCATTGTAGCAGGTGAAACATACCAGCAAGCCTGTTGAAGCCGATCAGCACCCATGCAGCTCCAAACCCGCAGATGATACTCGCCCATGGAGACACCACGGCGCATGATGCTGTGATCGCCGCAAACCCTCCCAACACCCCGTTGCACACATCCAGCACGTTCCAGTGCCCATCCAACAACCTCTTCCCGAACAATGTTGTCACTCCCGCTGTCGATCCCGCCAACGTCGTCGTCACTGCAGTCCTCCCAACTCCGCTCCAGTTGCCCTTCACTCCCTCGTATGGCACCAGAATCTTCAGAAAGCTCCCCGGGTTGAATCCGTACCATCCGAACCACAACAGGAACGTCCCCAACACAACCAACGTCGCACTGTGACCGCGAAAGTTCATCGAGTTCCCAGATTTGTCAAATCGTCCAATTCGTGGTCCCTCTATGAACGCGCCCCAGAACCCAGCCAGCCCTCCCACCATGTGCACCACGCCGCTACCAGCGAAGTCGATCGCCCCACTCCCGAACAACAGCCCGCCGGGACCCACACTCTTCGTCGCCGACAGCCAACCATCCGTCGACCACAGCCAGTGAGACACAATCGGGTACACAAATCCAGTCAGCACCGACGAATACACCAGGTACGCTACGAACTGCGTGCGCTCCGCAATCGACCCGGATGTGATTCCCGCGGCAGCGATCGCGAACGCCCACTGAAACAAGAAAAAGCTGTAATCGAAGCTGGCGTTGGGGACATTCTGGAGACCCCAGTTGGCGTGACCGATAAAACCATTGGGCTTCCCACCTTGTCCGAAAGCGAAGGCGAATCCGAACACGTAATACGAGATGCCACCGCAAGCAGCGTCTAGCACGTTGGTGAGCATAATGTTCATCGTGTTCTTAGCCCGCACCGAACCGGCACACAGCATGGCGAAACCCAGCTGCATAGCAAACACCAAGTAGGTGGAGAACAGCAGGTACGTGTTGTCAACAGCCAGGGTGGTGAACCCGAGGCGCGCATCGATGCCATCGAGCTTGGAGCAAAGAAACTCGCTCAAGCCAGTGGCATTGCCCGAGGCACCCAGATACCCCTGAAGAATGGTCAGGTCCCCCGCCGCACACCCGTAGGTCGTCATGGTCGACCTCGGCACTCACACCGTGGGCTTCCTGCAAGTGTATGCTGCGTTAGACACAGTCTCCTGTCGTCATGAATTCAGCTACAATCGCAGAAACTGCTGAAGCTGTCCGGAATCTCGTCACGATTCGCAACAGCTTCGCTATTGAAACCACTGGGTGTTGGGATTGGCGAGGAGGCACTTATAACTGCTGTCCCCATTGTCGAACCTCCAACATCTGTGTGTCCGTTTGCACACGCACTCTAATTTCGAGTCTTCGGTATGATTCCGCAGTCGAGGACCACTGCGAAAGAGAGCGACGTGCTTTTCGTCGGACGACAGCTTTCGAGGGTTGTCGTCCGACGAACAGCTTTCGTGGATGTATCTTCTCCTTTGGAATGAATGGTGCTCCAGTATGTGGCGATGCTCGTTTCAGGGTAGGATTTTGTGGTTGCTTCAACAAGAGATGAATCGCAATGAACTGGGTCAGTTTGATTGTCTGATTCCATGGATTTCTGTAGAGTTTGAAATGAAAAAGATTTTCAAATAGTGAGGTGTTGTTTCTTTATTATAGAACAATGAGTTTTGAGTCTTTTCACTAATCCATGTACACGTGAATCAAGTATTTACTGTTCAATATCCTCTTCGGGTGCTTTTCCAGGACCAATTTAATTGTAGTGTTTGTTTATTTTTTAAATTTACCAGATATTGGTTTTAAAGTAAAGTATTCCTATTTGTGTTTCCATGAGTTATAATCCTGTATATCTCGATTTTTCGCAGGAAATGTATTGTTTTATTCAAAATAGTTAAGAGAAGTATAAACATTAAACTTTTGTTTGAACGACTTTTTAAAACTCTTTCTTTCAAAAATATGTTCTGTCACGTTTTGTTACTTACTAAGATTAACAATCCAGCAATGATTGTTCTTAAAAGATTCAACAATGTTTTCAATTATTTTCATAGAATATATATATATATATATATATATATATTCTTGAAAAACCCCATGTGTTTCCTTTCTGTTTTGTTTTTTGTTTTTTTGTTTTTTGTTTTTTTTTTTTAAATATGGTGCAATACTGTAATGAAGCATGCAACAAGTTATGACTTGTTCGGAAAGCAATGACTTGTTCGGAAAGAAATTCATGGTAAACATTCAAGGTTTTCCAAAAATTATTGATGTTACACTCTTGCTGTCAAAGCTGATTGAATATCCATTTTATTCTAAGCTGTCTGTGTCATACATTACCTATCTGTTTCTAGAACAAATGAAAGGGAAATGGGGCAGGTGAAATGCGTCGACACACAGAAGGAGATGACGAGGCAGGCTCAGGTAAGTCGCACTTAAATGGGCGCTGGCTGGCGATTCGAAAGGAAAGCTGGGAAATTCTTTTTTTCGCATTCGCCACATGGGCACGGTGGTAGGCAGCACAGCTGTGGGCTGGCTTGGAGGCTAAAGCAGCGGGGTCCCACCCAGTCGCGGGCAGGCGAAGCAGCCTGGGCCGCGACGCAACAGCTGCCCAATGGTCTCGCAATGAATCTGAAGGATCAAGTGCCCGCTCATAGCTTCACTGCTCGCGGCGTCTCGTCTCGGCGTTGCAACCCACATGAAAGACGCCTCCCGCCTCGCCATTGGCGTTCCGCCGATCCTTCCAGCAATGAGCTCGGTGGCAGGCACCGAGGCCCAGATCTCTACTAATACCAATGCGCAAGTTACTGCTGGGATGTTCGAGAATTATCCCAAATTTCGGGCGATTTCGGTGAGATTCCTCCGTTGCGGTTATCATTCGCCCAACTGCCGTATAATTGGCTTGCTGCCGATCAAATGCGGCAGTTTCAGGACTTCGAGTTATTTTTCTTGGTCTCTTTGTTTAGCATGTTGGTTGACGTTTCTCCTGGTTTTGTTCCCAGGTCAGTGGAAACGCGGTTGTTGTATATTTAGAGTGTTTGGACTTCGGTGGTGGTGGGTGAAATTGTTGGGATCGGAGTAGGCAAGTTGTTTTGCAGGATTTTGCTGTTCGTATGGGTTACAGAGATTTTTCATCCTTGCAAATCGAGTGGTGTTGTTTCTTGCATGAGAAATGGTCTGGGGGATGTTTCGAATAAGTCGACAAGTACCCCACATTGTAGCGCTGTAGATATGCTCAATTATCAAAATTTTGTTTGTCCAGTTAATATGGTGCAACGAAATAAATTTTATTCTATTTATTTAATGTTTAATTTCATTCTGAAACATAAGGGGGGGCAAACGCTTAATTGATTAAGATTGTATCTTGAAAACATGGCCTTGTTTTCATGGTCTCGAGGGTTGAGTGTTTTCCTTAGGTGGGAGAACATTGTTTCATCTTGAGTATGAACTTACATTTAAAGTGCACTAATTTGGGATCCCACTTTCACACTGGTGGAACTGTTGAATATTTTCCCAAAATTGTGAATCACAATATTTGTTGTTTCAAGGGTGTAAATGGAGCAAGCATTTACTACAAACGCATCTATGCCAAATGAACCAATCGAAGTATGATTCTTTTTTGGCTCTAGTTTTGTTTCACAACTTGACAAAAATCATGTCAAAGTCCTTACAATGTACCGCATTCTATTTTCGAGTTTTGTATTGTCATAACAAACATACATTGTTTTAATCATTTTTATTTTTATTTCTTGACATTATATTCCCCCAAAAAAAAACTAAATAAAAAATGTTTTTGGTGGTGAAACTTGAAACATAAGTTTTTACAAACTTGAAACATAGGGAATACTGTTTTGTTTTCATTTCTCAATTCATGCAACGGGTTTACTCCATTTGAGCCAAGAAGGAAACTAAGAATAATTAGATGTTACACACGCATGATACCAAAACAGCAGCATTGACCTGGCATCTGGACTGGAGAGTCTGTCAAGAATCTTGCAACAAGCACCAATGAAACAGCCCATGATTCGAAAGGCATGATTGTGAACAGCACTTATCAGAGAAGTGACTTGCTTTTAGTTTGGAACTTAGCCAATTTCGAAGAACCAGAAAATAAATATTCTAGTATTTATGGTGGGCCGGACAAAATGGAATGGTTCTTGAGAATTTATGGACCTGTCATAGAGGGTCTCGCGGAGACAAATGCGAACCTTTCAGTGTAAAAATAGGAATACTTCGAATATTAGAGGATTCGGAAAAAGTTTTTTAGACTGATACAGTTTCTTAAATCAAAGTTTTAGTATTTCTAATAATTAAGACAATGAGCAATTCGGAATCATAGTATCGAGACTCGATGTCATTAGAAATGTAGAATATTGTTTTTTTGTTTGTTTGTTGTTGTTGTTGTTTTTTTTTTTTTTTTTTTTTTTTTTTTCTGGTGAGAAAACACAGTAAGCGTTGACCAGATGCAGAGAACAAACCCCATAAAACTACATTTGGATAGGTTGGCGTCTGAACACGAGAGGCCAATTACGGATGAATCGACACAAACCGTGCTAATATTCGTGAATGCAACACATCTCATTTCCAACATTCAGACTCTGCGCCATCATTCCCCCAATCAAGGTCGTGTGCTCAGCTGGTTTTTGCCTCGCCTCCGAATCTCGAAAGCTCCGAGGTAATCTAGCAACCTATTCCAACGTTACCATGTCGAATTTGGCTTGTTTCGAACACTCCTGCACACAAAAGGAGCGTACCTGGTCCTGTGTGTGTGCTCAGGGGAACTGAACCCACAAGATTGCAGATGCCAGATTGTCTGGGCTGAGCACCGGAAATGAGATTTTGTATCTCGTTAAAATGGCCCATCCTCTTACTCCGTCATGCACAAAGGTTGTAACACGGTACTTTGGGGGGGGGGGGGGTCTGTTGTACCTCCAAGTTAGATGCACAGTGTAAACTTTGAGAATAGGTTATTCCATAAAGCTAATCCACCTTTGGAATGTTACTGGGTTATTTGCCATACATTGGAAAAGAATGAAACTCTTCAGAAATTTCCACTCTTTCACAAGCTTGACTTTTACAGAACGCCGACTACATAATCAATTTGGATTACTTGCCAGATCTCCTTGCTAGAATTCACAAGCTGCAATTTTGATCTGGACATCGGATCTCAAAGGAAAAAAGCTGAACGGCACACTGATGTTCATTATCACTTTAAGATTCACGACTTAATTTCAAGTCTTTTGATACTGTTTTTTGACAATCGTTCACCTTCTGCAATTGGATATTCTGCAATTGGATCCCTCCGTTTCCTATCACATGCACTATTAGTGATAAGCAACCCAGTTCCCACTCCACAATGACGCGTTCGTTAACGTCACAAATCGAAGACGCTCACGTTCCGAACGCAATAGGCTTGCCAACACCTGGAAGGAATCGTCAAACAGAATGCTACTCACTGGCAGTAAACACCTCTCTTGCGGCGTCGATTTAATCTATCGCACGAGTTGCCTATGGTCTAAGATCCCGTAATGTACAGCCATCGTTGGTTATCCACACCGCCACTGCTTATCACACCCATTTACATCCCCTGGATAGATATCTCTTCATCAAACATCATCAATTTTATGAACAGCCTGAACTTTTAACCAACGGAGCAATCTCAAGGTCATGAACGGTCTGATACAGTCTCAATAGTATTGCATAGATTCCATGATGCCCTCCCGGCGCTGAAACTCAAGCACGTCCAAATCACCTCTCATTCACATCCTTGATACTCCATATGTATCATGGAGAAGGTTGAACAGCTCCATCAAGTCGTATGGTTGCCTGACCTCGCCAAGCGTTCGCTTTCACAGCCGTCTTCACTCTGTGTCTAAATTCTTCGTGCGCTTCCGAGTACATTCTGTGTAAAACTCATGATCTTGCATTCACTCGACTCATGATTCTAGAGGTCCTACGGACGTACTTGTTAGATCAGCATTGAATCCATACATTACACAAGTTGATTACTGTGATTTGAATTTTGAGAATTGCTGCATGAGCTTACTGCCTTCTGTTGAAGTGAACGCCGCTAGTTGTTCTCCAGAGCCTGGATAGGATATTTTAAAAGTGCCCAACACAGATAGAATTCGCCACCGATCGTGATTCGGTTCATTGTTTGAGGGTGCTGGATTTTCTTCGATCAGTCTGTTGGATTAGTAAATTTCGGGGTGGAATTTCTTAGTGCTGGATTTTCTTCTGGATCAAGTGACGAGTGTCGCAGTGCCTGGAGAGTTTGGATGATGTAACTTCGGAGGAGTAGTTGTGAGAGCTCAACAGTTGGATTGCAGTGAATGTTTGTGTTGCTGAATTCACATTAAGTGTTGTTCCAAAAACCTAAGGTTTAGGTCACAAGCACATCTTAAGTTGCTACACACATTCCATATTGCTACATACACACCCAAAAAATAGAGACTTTTGATTGGCTGGGCATTGTTGTGTGGACCTTATTACCTAAGACAACTACAAGGGGTAGAGCCTCTGAAAGAAAATTTGGAATTTGCACTTTGTCATGGCAATTTATTTGCTTTATCTAACATCATCGCACACATTGCATTGAAGATTAGAAGCACAACTATGTGGTGAAGTTGGTGTGTTTGGAACCACCTTCTAAGACAATGTCAGACAATGTCTCGATGGCTTTGCCAATGTCGTCGAAGCATTCTTTGGCAGCTTTAACATGAAGAATTGCTGCACGAGCACAAACGTTGATGCTAGTCAAACATGATTAGTCAAACATGATTAGTGAATTTGCCTTAAAACTCCAAGCAATGTTGTTAAATATGCAACTAATGAATAATAAAGGTTGCAATTCAAAGACATCATTATGATGACGAGGCACAAGATTTAAACTATTGAAATTTGCAAAGTAGTCAACGAATTAGCAATGCAACCTTTGTAAGTAATGCAAGTCATTGCAAGCAGCAACATAATACATATGGAAATAGGATGGTAATATAGGAGCAAATGAGTTTGCAAATTGGAAGATGAATTGACTATAGATTAGATCAAATCTATAGATATGTTGTCGACAATGCTAAGGTCAATGTTGTCTTTGAGAAGCTTAGTACTGAAGTAGTTGGAAAAAAAGTCAAACTAGATCTTTTCAAAGTTCTTACAACATTTCCATGCATCGGCAACCATGAAGCTAAGGAACTCAACATAAGAAATATCGTGCGCCATCTTGTACAAATGCTGTGATGATCGATGCATGAAGTGTAATGTGAAAACATGGTGAAGTGAACCTAGACTTCAATCTATTGAAAAGGAAGATACTCAGAATTTGGTGAGAAAAATCGAATCGTAGAATACACATAATCAAATGTGTGGGCGCGCCAATCCGAGTATATAATACTTTCTCATCTCAACAATGAGATAAGATATTAATGGTGTTCGCAGTGGTTGATCAGGCCCTGTGAATACAGAAGTCAAACTGCTCTTGGTCTACTTAATTTGAACACCAGCAACTCTTCGAAACACTTAGAATATGTAAAATTTTTCTCAAGAAATGAAAGCAACATGAACCATCTCTATAAAGTATTATCCATTAGGTTATCAGCACTAAGACTAAACTATCAGTTGGTAAAACCTTAAGTGCACTGAAGCCCCCATGATAAGCAGATCAAAGCCAGTGCACTCAGTAGAAATAAGCACATAAATATGCAGGAAAAAAACAAAACAAAAACAAAAAACAAACAAACTTTGCTGAGCACAATCTGGTCTTCAAGACAAACAACATGAAAGTATGTCATATGATGGACTTTTAGGGTTTAGGCACGCAATGCAATGTTAGTGTGCTGCTCATAGCTGCTCACAACTACACCATTGCACCGAAACTCTTTACAGCCAACAATTGACGTTTGGAAAATGTCCCTAATAAGTACCAAGAATCAATGTTCACCGGGTTGCAGACCAACTCTAGTAGCAGGTAAATTGATGGGACCACGGGCACGGTCACCCGTATCTAATAAGCGCTTCACCCTCTTCTTAGCACAAAATTGACGGTCAAAATGCTTCACCTGCAAGCAAACACATCCATCGCATGCATCATTAACCGATAGAGCATATGTAGACAAGAGACGAGCATCAAAAACCAAACATGGAGAAATGTAGACGGGGTTCACTCACCCATGTCGATCGACAATTTTGCTCGTAAAAGGCCCGTGCCGATTTGCACTGTTTGGGGTAGAGAAGTCCAACCGAAGCGATTTCTGTTGGTGTTGTGTGGCCAGAATCAGCTTCTACGCACCTGAAAAATGCGTCCCGTGCCTGTGTCATTCCAACAGAAGGCCTTAGTCCATGAACGTACAACTGTGCCGTGAGCAACTTAGCCCAAAATGCACATGAAACTGCTAGTGGGCAAAAACAGGTCAAGCAAACATTTAATTCATGAGATCCCATCTAGCTAAACTACTTCTCTGAATCCCCGCACAAGACTATCCTCAACACGGGACAGACGGCAAAACTTGTGACAGTTAACAGCATCGAGCAACGTATAAAGGCCACTTAGGACATGGACTAAAGGGCTTAGGATCTACGAGAACTACACGTAGAGGGCAACTTATTTATATATATATGTATATATATATATATATATATATATATGTGTGTGTGTGTGTGTGTATGAATCGTCATCTAACAAGGGAAAACGTGCATGTCGAATTTCGTTTCAGTTTGATTTGGAGTAGCGATAAAGGGTTTTAGGGTATACTTCTTCTACGTGTTGTTAACCTGATTTACGAAAAATACAAATTCAACTCCGCCGCAGTAGCCCTTAAACCCAATAAATCTTCGACTACGAAAAAGAATATTACGAAGTATCACGAGCTAAAATTGCACTTAAATCCACGCAAACAAAACCCGATTCGTTGGAAACAAAATTACACAGCCCGCTCCCGAATTCCAGATTCATGTGATTCGTCAAGCCGGGATGAGCATTGATCTCAACAAACCGTGGTGTAAAGGCGCCATCGTGAGCGCGAGAGAAAGAACAAGAGGGTGAATTGCACGAAAGACCAACGACCATTTCACATCAAAACCTGACAAGAGTAGAGCACGTAAAGAATACACCCTTCATACCAATATCCTAAACTCACGAATACAACGAGACGGGAGATGAGACGGAGCCAAACCTTGTAGCAAGCATCCCGACCAGCTGCAAGGACCTTTTTCTCGACGTGAGGCAGGTCCTCGATTGCAGAATTTTCCAAATCCATGTTTTCTCTTAGTTGGCCATGTACTCCTCCCTCACTAGCTCTGCTCCACGGCCATCCCACCATTCAGTCAGTCACCCCTCCACGCCTGTCTGAGCCCAAATTTTTTGTGGGTGGCGATTAGCTTCGAAGTTTAGCACACGAGCAACAAATCACTCTAGAACTTTCAACATTGTTGCGAGTACTCTGATCGGAGCTGGAAATCAATGTCTTGGGCCATCCCTTCTTCGTTCAAGTTACACATCCAATCCGCTTCCAACTATTTCTCACTGTTCATCCGATTCTGTTCATCTTCGTGTTACTATTGCTCTATTTCTCGGTGAGGGTTCAGGGTTTAGGGCACAGGGACAGTCCGACCCTTCACAATTTCGTATGGGATTAAGCTTTCATTCGAGCGAGTTCAGGCTATCAGAGTAATTCAGTTGGTGGAGGGAATTAGTAATGTTTTTGTAACGTCCGCGAGTGAACCCAGAAGCCGCTGTTGAACATTACTGTCGAAGATGTTGGGTGAGGTCACAATTTAAGGGACGGGAAGGCGAAGGAGTGATGGTTTGCAGCATGGATGCTTTAAGATGTGCCTCTAGTTACAGTAGGGTTAGTTTTTATGCTTTGAACCATTCCATTAGTCTTGTATTCACTCAATCGATTTCCTTGCAATTTTGTGGTGTAAACGATGTGGAATTTGCGAAAAGTCTTTTAAACACTAAGTGGAGTTCCTTGCGATTCTGTGGTTTCAGTTGTAGAGGATTAAGGGATGCAGCACAGTTATGCCCACAATTTTTTGTGTCAAGTTGTAGTAGTCCTAGAATGTTTAAGGCCTTTCAAAGCCGAAAATCTTTGAAAGTTTACTGCTTGCAAGATAGCGTGGAAGATGATAGAAGTCGATTAATCAATGAAGCAAGGTCTGCAGTGGCGGAAAATCTGATAGCCGCAGGAATTGAAGAAAAAGTTGCACTATCAATATCCGAAAATTGTCCGCACTTCATTGAGAAGCTCATGGAACGTGCTAATGAAGCGGACGAAATTTTAGGATGGGCTAATTTGAGTCTAGGAGCAGAGGAAGAGGGTTCCAGCACGTACGGACTGGTCAAGTCTGTGAAGTTGAGTGATCCAGAGCTTTGGTGTGTAGTGCTCGAGTTTGTTGGAGTGCGTGCACAGGCTGTAACTCGGATTTCTCACGTACTTTCGACTTCTACTCTTACGGAGTTTCTGAAGAAGGTTTGCTTCTTTAAACCTGATAACTGTAACATAATTCTATTACTCGATTTTCATAGGCAGTAGCGAAGTACACTTTATTCTAAGTGTTTGGTCGACTGAATTGTTCTTAAGCTCGTCTAACTTTTGCATGGGTTGAAACATCAAGTTGAGTTACGTAGATGCATTTGAATTAGTGGTTTTGAATTATGTAGGTCCATGGGTCTGCGTAGTCTTGCTCTATCTGTCTGCAGTTTCTCACGGCTTCTGTCCGAACTCCCAGGTTAATTTCGTGGAGGAGTTTCTAAATAGAGCTCAGCTTGATGGCCAGCTGTTTGAGAGTAAAGTATATCAGATGATGCGGCGTCTTTCTGTGTACGCATACGAGGATGTTCAGCACACCCTCTCCTTTTTTGAAAAGGTCGCAACTCATTTCTTGTAATGTTTAGTTCTGCTACTGTATATGTGAGTGTACTGTGACTGCGGCTGGTTAAAATGCCAGCTAAAGTTTGCGAGTTTGTTTAGGTTGGGACCTCATAGTTGTGCGCTGCTGTTACAGGCCATTGCACTGCGAGATTTTTGTGCTTTAACCTGTGCCTATCCTTGAAGCACGTATTTGTAATTCATTGCACTCAACTTTAGCTTTTATGGTTCATGGCTACAAGATCACGCTGGGATGATAGTAACTCCAGAGCTATTGGACTGTGCTTGTTCTAGGTTATTACAGATGGCTGCTCAGCGTGGAGGTATTGCGTTACTCGCTAGTGCACACGTCGCAGTCGCACGTCTGGTCGAAGGATTCCCTCATATATTTCTGCGGGATTTAGACGTGGAGCTTAAATCTGTTCTAACTTTCCTAGAAACCATAGGAGTTCCGGACGAGTCTTTAGGAAGAGTGATTGTGCTGTTTCCACCAGTTCTCTTGTGCGATCCTCATCGGGACTTGCAAGCACGACTTAGAACCTTGAAGAAGGTGGTCTTCAATACCACTTGATCCTCTCACACGACATGATCTTTTTGCATGTCAATTTACGGGTAATTACGCCTTAAACTGCCCTGGTCTTGTTACTTACAGCCTAATGTGATGCAGATTGGTGTGAGGGCCAGGGATCTAGGGAGATTGATAGTAAGATACCCTTGGCTTCTTAGTGAGACCGCACAGAACAATGTTGACGAACTTGTCGAGTTCCTCATATCTGTCAAGGTTCTCCATCATCACACCTTGCCTCATCATTTTGTGCCCAGAAGTTGTTTTACACAATTAGCAACATTGTTAGTCTTGATTTTATTCCCTGAGTATAGTTTGATATATGAGTGCAAGTTTATGACCACAAAGTTCCTGGGGCTTATTATGCTTCGTAATTACTGAATTCAGGTACCAAAAGGAGACATAGATCGGTCTATTACAGCATGCCCTCAACTACTTGGATGTTCAACAATCAGGACGTTGCAGCCCATGGTTGAGCGCATGAATAAGTTGGGTGTGAAAAGCAAAAGACTGGGTTACGTAATAGCTGCCAGCCCCCAGCTTCTTGTTCGCACGCCTGATGAGTTCAACGAGGTAGGATTGCCCAACCTTCTCTCCTCTGAATGTACTTATTGTGTTTTCTGGGAAGCGCCAAACTACAATCAGATCATCCTCATATTTGTTTCATCAATCGATATCAAATGAATCTCTGAGAATAATCTTTCAGTTGATTAAAGTGCACTTGGGGGTTAAGATTTCCTCTTTCATTGGTCATAAGCAGGTGATGAACTTTTTGCTCAAGATAGGTGTTGAGGAGAAGCACCTAGGCGGAATGTTGAAGAGGCATCCAGGGGTGTTTGCCTCTGATGTGAAGTCTGTTTTGGAGCCTAAGGTTCAGTTTTTGCGACAATTAGGAATGAAGGAAGAACTTTTATTTAGGGTGTTGCGATTCTTCCCAGAGATGCTCACTATGAGGATTGATTCTCTAAGATCCAGGTCAGACTTTACCACTCTATTCAGTTAGACACTTCTCAGATATACTGATTCCTTTTTATTATAACTTTGAGTCGTCATTAGTTTTTTTAAGGTACTGAGTGTTCTGGGGGGACTTCATTGTATAATCTAGACATTCTAAATGCACAATCTAGACAAGCAACTATGTCATTGAACTTTATCCAAGAAGGTTTCTCTATTGCAAAAAACTGCAAAACAAGTAACAGATCAAATACATGTCGATATGTAAATTTTGCGTGCACTTTCTGTTTTCTTTTCATGAGATGTGACGCACATAAGTCAGTTTTGAGCGAGTTTCCTAATATTCACGGTTGCCATATTGCGTAAATGTGCAGGGTTAAGTACCTGCAAGATGAGGGATTTCACAATGAGGTAATATGCTGTATGATATGTAGATTCCCACCATTGCTTAGCTATAATCCAGAATCGGTTCTGAAGCCGAAACTTGAATTTTTGGTGAATTCCATGGGACGATCAATTTATGAGGTAGTGGAGTACCCACGATACTTCAGCTACTCATTGGAGGTAAAAATCAAGCCAAGAGCCAGAGTAATCAAACTTCGACAAGTCAAGTGCAGTCTCAGAGAAATGCTACATCTAAACGATGATCAGTTTGCCTCCAAGTTCTTCGGTGTTAGCCGCCTTCTTGTTCCTCCTAGTTGAGCTGGAAATGTAAGTTTATCTTTCTTCTCGTTCTTTAGAGCCTTGTAAAGGCAGTCTTTTTACCCTCGGACTAGACTTTCTCCACAACCTGTTTGTCAAATAAATAGTGCACGTCTATCATGGCATGTCATAAGATCTAGACTCAAACTTTTTTTTATATTGGTCTTTTAAAATTCTTTTTAAGCATTAGACTGAGAGAACTTAATCCACGAGCCTTTGGAATTCATGATTGTCATTTAGCCCCAGAGAAGTTATTACACGATTTCTTGGTGTGTACTTAGTGGTGCGATTGAGTCTTTTCAACCGAATATCCTCCCTTTTCTGAACCTAGAAAATGTCAAAGTAGAGCATTACGGAGACAGGAGAGTCGAATGGCATGTTTCTACAACGAAGTTGTACATGCATAGAATTTGGATATCACTTTGGTGGTAGGATTTTATTCAAGAACAATCAACTGTTTCAAGAGAAGACTGATTCCAAATAAAGTAATTTAGATTCCAAGGTGTCTTCTGACACCAAGAGGATCCACCAAGAGGATCAAATGGATGTTGGAGTGATGTATAGGGTTTGTGGAGTATTGGTGGTAATAAAAAGCAACATATGATATATTATAAACTTTTTTTTATCTTAGAATAATCAATAATCATTTGGAAATGTGATCAAAAAGCTTAGATGCATGCCAATCATTGATAGAAGAGTTAATTGTTTAATACAATATGAAAAAGCAACCACATGTTCAAGTCTCAAAAATATTAGAATACATCATTTTTTTTCAATTATTGATTCAATATTTGATAAGAGTCTATTGGAATTTAAGCAACATATACATGGTTGAATGTAGTACATATATTAAACGGGTTTATATTAAGAAAAATATGTGTCTAAAAAAGAATGTAGTAATCCTCTCTTTTGGCAAATTGAACAAATTTATAAATGGAAAAATATGTTTTATAAATCAAATAATATAGAGAATGAAATAGGAGCATAGGAGATGATAGCAAAGTAAAGGGAAGGCTTATGTAATTTTAGTTAAGGTAGCTTATGATTGTACAATTTACTACTTTTAAAAATTATAATAAAATTAGGTGTTTTAGGAATAGTTGTTTGGTGCAACTTGTTCTAGAAAATATTGTCAAAAACTTGCTATCTCTAAAGTACATTATAATTGCCAAATAATATTGTTAGCCTCTAGTACTAGAAAGATGGTTTATAAGTTATGCTAAATTTTTTTGTATGAGAATCTTAGAATAAACCTTAATATAAATCCTATCAAAATTTATGGTGCAATTTTTGAAAATTATGCAATATAATGAAAAATTACAATTAATTAATAAATGTGAAACCCACCTCCTCCCCACCCCTCACCCCTGCTTTCTAAACAACAGACCTGAAATCCCAACATATTCTGTGGATGAACTTACATGGACGAGACAAATCATTCCTACTCAGTATCCTTTCAAACCGTGCAATATACCGGGCGGGGTGATTGAGGTCCACGGCATAATTTTACCGGCCTCGGAACATGCCTATGGCTCCTCAACACCTCCATTGCAAAGGAATTTGCGAGGTTCGTAGCTGTAGCTCCCCTTCTTACATCCCTTCTCTCGACTTTCAATTGCTTCGCTCCTGCTTGATCGTCTGGATTACCTTGCCTTCCGCCAAGTTGTTGAGAGTGAGCAGTGCCTTGAATTGCCTTAGTTTGTTGGTCGAGAATTTTAATCCGAGAAACTAATAGTTTAATAACCTCAAGAGCCTGATCTGAACAACACATCTTGCAAGTAGAATATTTGTACTCCCCTGTTGGAAAAGGTGAATCACGATACACTCGGAGAATGAGGAAGCGGAGGATGCCCAAATGTAGCGCATTGAGGGTTTTTCGTATTAGTTGTAATGTGTTAGTCACCACAGCAGAAGTTTCCTTAGTACAACCGGGTACGAGATTCAGAACTATTTCAAATCTAGTGTTCTTGTATCGTTTTAATGGATCCTATTGATTTCGTGTCGGGTTTTCTATTATGCTGGTGTTGCTGTTTTTCGTTTCCTTCTTCTCAAGCTGAGGATTTGTTCCGTAATACGTCTAATGCAATTTCATGTTTCTCAGTCCTGTTTGTTGAGATAACAAGACTATTGTATTGACCTTGTCTTGTTAGGTTCAGGTGCATCTTTTCTTGCTGGAAACGATTTTTTTATTTTTTTATTTTCTTACTTTGTTTATATTTATTTACAAGATGGTCAAGGTACTTGTTACGAAAAATTCTTGCTCAATTCGAGGGCCCATGTGTTGTCATAAAAGCTATCCAGGTCCTGATGTGGGTTGTGTGGAAGCAGAGGTCACGTCTGAGATATGAAGGTACATAGAAAGTCTTGAATACCGGGAGACTTATACTTCTGTTTTTCGGGCATTTTGTTTCATCCTTTAATCCTTCAGAACCTATCATGCTTTTCTTTCGAACAGTTTGTATGATTGAATTAGAGCGAGTGTGTCTGACAACCTTATTCGTTAGGCCTATTCGTCGAACCATATCTTTGAATAACTCATCCCATCTCCCTTTGCGTCGAGTGGGAGCTTAACTGATGCTGAAAATATCTCTCCACTTGCAGCAGCTGCCAAATATGTAAGGGCCCAGGTCGACACTGCCTTTGTTAGCGCTAAAAATGACGCTTATGAGATTGATATAGATGAAGACTTCGTAACTGCGTTGGAATATGTGATGCCTTTAACTCCTGAAATGGTGAGAAGTTCGACTTCGAAATTAAGCAATTTCTACACCTTTTCCCAATGAAAATAGTGTAATCATCCGTTTCTTTTCCACGTGTTTATCTGCTGGTAAAAGCTGTGTGTTGAATCCATTCTTGTGAGTGTTTTGGATCAGTTCTGGATCAGCAATGAAATCAGAAGAGTGAGGTTTTACGATCGGCTACACAAGTGGACAGTTATACTGGATTGTAATTGCTAGGCCATTTATAGCAATGCTAAGTTGGATCTTGATCTAGAAGAAGACACTCACCATATTATAGTCTCTAACATTTTGGCAGTGGAAGGATGGGTATGTATGGGTAGAACAGGCAATACATAGCATCTGCATGGATGAGTCGGTTTTTGCAGGGTCAGTCGGCTTGAATACTTTGAAACTACTTTCTGTGTCAGTCGGCTTGGTTTTTAAGTGCAGAATACTTCGTTGCTATTTGTACCACCGACCAATACGAGACCATTCTTTGAGTAAGTGTTTTGTTTTACTTTTAAATGACTGGACCCTTCCAGTGAAAGAAGACTGTGCATACTACTCTAATGGATCATGCGTAATCTTCAAGAAATGAGCTGCTTTGTCGTTGTTCTAGGAACGACGCGTAATAATCATCACCACTTGTAGACAAAATAATAATTCTAAAATTGTTTCGTAAGGAAATTTAAACGAGAGCTTTGTGTCTTTTTATTCAATGACTGGTTGAACAAAAGGCACACGAAGGACTCGTTTGGATTCCTTCGTGAACCAATCTCAATGGCATTGATATTGCAAAGTATTCAAAGGGATAAGCAGAAGTCACTCAAGGATATGCTTTAGGCCAGGTATGGTTCCGTTGTGGTATCTCTACTCAAGATCTGGATTAATTTATGGGAAGTACACGTAAGGCTGTGAAGAAGGAGCCATCAGCCTTTCGATTTCAGCCGAGGTCGCTCCGTACGCATGCAGTTAAATACTGTTGTTCGACCTATGTGTGAATAGGAAGGTGCATGGGGCCTTTACCTTGACCTAGTAAATGATAACTTGGTACCTTCACGTTTAAGAGAAGCTTCCCTACAAGGAACGAGGAGTAGGGTCACATAGAAAATTGTATAATGTAGTTGAGGATAGAAGTTTGACTATAATGATGTTTTCACTAACACTACAGGATCTAAGGACACGAAGTCAGGCCTCTCCATTTGAAAAGGTTTCGCATGTTTTGTGCATGCAAGACGAATACAGTGCCTATGCACAACGGATGTTTACCGACAACTCAAGTGCACTCCCTCCAATTTTCTACGCTTCGACATCTTCCTGATGAACTGTAGAAGTTTCCTCTGCGATCCAAGATAACGGGTTGAAATTTGTGAAAACGTGGTCCCATTTGACAGATTTTCGTCGAGGATGGGCACCGTAATCGAAGGAAGACAACTTAAAACTATGCCGACTTACCCTTCAAGAAATTACCCTTCGCAGTTTCCGCCGTTCTTTTTGCTTGCTTCATTGTCACTTAAACCCTGGTACAAGTATAAATATCGGCTTTCGACAGGGTTCAGATCATCACATCCAGCTCCATTGCTCTCTGACACTTCCTACAACCCACGGTTCTGTGGCAGCAGCAGCACATATACTCTCTAAGATGGCATCTCTACACCAGGCCAGGTTTGCAGCACGATCAATTACCTTGTTTCATGGGCAAGGACACTCTTCTCTGATTCTAATGAAGCACGCTTCTTCTCTTACGCAATGAATCTCGTGGCATTCGTATGACACTTGCTGAATGTGAGATGACTATATTCTTCATGCAGGTCCACTAGGTTCGCAGCCCTGATCATTCTCATCTTGGCGCTCGGTGCGCTGTCCTTCTTCGCTGCTCCTGCAGACGCGCAGTGCACTTGCACCAGAGGCAGTATGAATTCATCAGCCCGATGCTGGTACGGTGGCCCAGGGTCAGGATCCTACGTGACAGTGCCATCAGGAGGCACCTATTCCATCAACTGCCAAGCAGTGGGCGGAAGCGTGGGTGGCAACAACTACTGGAACAGAATCTGGTATAACGGACGGTGGTGCTACGTGAACGACTACTACATGACCACCGGGTGCGCGACCAAGTGCAGCAACATTGGTTGCTGCAGCGGTTACAGTTGTTAGCCGGGGCATCTGAGCAATGATACCCATCGCAGCGCCTGGAATGCCGCTGCCCTTCAGTTAAAAAATCTTTGACTGCTCTTCGGGATGATATAAATAAGCGATGTTTGTGCAGCTGAATTCTCGCGATGTGCTAGTGCATGCTCGTGAAGTCGTTTAACAATAATCTGAGGCCCGAGTGAGTTTCTCTTGTTGGGGTGCTCGCTTTGCCTGATTCATCGATCTAGGCACGGCGTTGTCGATCGGAGTCGGCCGACAGCGTCGCGGACTTCGTTGTCTCTAGTCTGTGTGTTTTCAATCGCCACTTAGCTGCTTTTGTGGTTATAAAGCCGAGACCCAGGCATGGTCTGGTAAATGTGAGGGCGTTTGTGAGTTTTAATAAATTAAAATCTGGTCTAGAATATTTCATATAACCCAACTCTTTAATTTGCTATTCATGTTCTGACTTGGTAATTATCTGATCCCACAAACAAACAATCAAACAAACAAACAAACCAAAATATGAGTGAGATTGTATGTGAATTTTTGGGACTTTTGAGAAGATATTATTCACAAGCTACTGCAAGTGATGGCATACACCACAATGGTTTTTTTTACACATTTTATTGATGTATTGATTTTGGTTTTTGTAGATAGTTTGTTGGAACTTTCACTTGTTTGTATTTGTTTATTTATGCATTGATGGAATTGAATGAATGTTCTTATGTTTGTTTAGCAACATTATATCTTATCTATTTTGTATTTTATATAACAATTAGATCTGATTGGTGATAGTAGTAGAAGAGATTATGAGATTGTTGCACTTAATAAAATGTAAAACATAAAATGTAAAAACATAAAATGGATACTTAGCAAAACATCATGCAACAATTCATATAATTCATTGTACCAAATGAACAAACTTTTGTAAAAAGTTATGAATAACAAAACATCAATCAATAATTTATATGCTTCATGTGATGCTTGATACTAAATGAACAAACGTTGGTAAAAAGCTATGAAGTTGGATAACTTGTATCTTTGAAGATCCTAAACATTCACAGGAATAAAAAAATAGAAGAGAACTGAAAAATGATGCTGAGGGAGAATAAAAAGTCTCAGTTTATCAGAATAATAAGTGAATAGAAGTAGGAAGATAAAATAATTCTCCAAATTAGCCTATATTTTGAAGGATGTATTACCATCAAAACTGGTTCAAAATTAAAGAAATGAACATCCCAATTTGATTTATAAAAAAAATCAAATGATGCCAAACTGTGGCATGGAGAAAAGGTATGAATAGGTAATCTTGAAAAAGTCCACACATAAAGTGGTGGGTTTCTCAAGCAAAATATGACTTGGAACTGTCTAAAGATGTACAAGAATAGAAAGTTTGCCAAATCGTATGAAGAGTACTACGACAAGGACTAGTGTCAGTCTGCACCCCAATAAAATGCCTTGGGAATGTCCCAAAAGTCTCGGGGAGATTCTACATGAAAGTTCAATTTTTCAAAAGAAAAATACAAATAGTAAAATCTTACTTCGTTCCATTTGCCATATGTTTTTATTTTGCAAAGAAGTATTATATACATTATATATTCCTAACAAAACGAGTACATGTTAAAAATTAATATTTAATGTTATTTACCACATACATGAATACTTTGAGTTTCATAAGTATGCATTGAATTTATTTCAGATGTGATGTTATAAATTCCAAATAAAGTTGAATTCAATGAGGTACCAAAATTGTACAATCTAAATCGTTATACACTTAAATCACTACGTGTATATATATATATATATATATATATGTCAAATGATGTGTTAACTTATTAAGTTTATTCTTATACATTTATATATTAAAATTTTTAAACCAAAATCTTAAGACTCAACTTTACTCTTACACATTTAATTAATTAAAATATATATATATATATATATATATAATGCAAAACAAATAGATAATGAAGGGATATTTTGAACTACTTGCAAATCCATAATATGTATTTAGGATAATTCTTCATACGTTTTGATTTACAAATTGTATAATACATTATATTGAAATATTGATAGAAACAAAAGCATAAATTTGTTAAATTAATGATCAATATCATGACTTTTAAACTTTTATTTATTCATTTATTTTTCTCTTCAATCACATGGCCATCGCAAATAAATAATTCGTAACCTATTCTAATTGGTTATGGTAACCATGATGGTTATGTATAGAGTATTTAAAGTAATTGACATCCCCTAACGACAACACCTCATTCGAAGTACCCTATTTCAGCCCCTCGCGACAACACCTCATTCAAACCACAACACAGGGCTTGTGACTACGACGGCGATTCTTCCGTCAACGACCGTCATCAATGCCGCCGAAGCGACGAATCCCCGTACCCGTCCTCGTTCGTGTCCTCGCCTGCCGGTTGTTACCTTCTTCGCAATCAATCGCACAGGCTTGCTGTGCCAAATCGATCAATCCTTCAGCCTATCTCGATTGGATCTACACCGCATCAATTCCTCTTGCGGTAAGATAACTCGACTGCAGAGTTCGGTGGATGTCCGTTTCGATTCCTCTCTTCCACTCTAATTCCAATGACAATCGTGGTGATGTTTTTACACTGGTTTTTTAGCGCCTCTCTTGCGCGATTTCACAGATGATTTTCCTCGTCAATTGAAGCTTCCCAGGTATTTTGCCCACACATTCCGCGGGGGAAGTTGTCGACAGGATTTTCTTCAGTTATGAATATGTATTTCTGGGTTTGGCATGTGGTTTTAATTTGAGGTTTAGGTTGAGGAGAACAGGCAGCAGAGTTCTTTTAGATGCTGATACCCTAATTCGCACAATTAGAACACGTGAGCTTTCGCATTTTGAGGAAATGTAGTCGTTGGTGGATGTTTAGAGGTTCTGTATGTAATTGTGAGTGTGTTCGAGATTTTTAGTTGTGCGCCAGTGAGGATTCTAGTTGTGGTAGGTTTGTTTCACTATATTTTTTTAGAGGAGAAGTTAATTGAGTTGCTCCGATTACTTTCTCTCGCGCAATTGGAATTTGAGCTTAGCTGCACGAGCAAGATGCTGATTATTTTCGAAGATAGCGAGCGTGCTGTTCAGCAGATCAGAGGGCTAGTGCTGTAGGACGCTTAATGATTCTGAAACTGGCGAATTTGATGAGTACTCAACTATATTATGTGCTCTATAGAAATGAGAAATTACCAGACATGAAGAATTGAATGTTCATGGAAGATCGTTGAAGATGATGGAATTGCAGGTTTAATCAGCACTGGTGCATGAAATGAAAATTCATTCTGCTCGCCTTTTTCTTCTTTCCTCGTTGGAACTAGTGTCTCCGATACTTTAGTTTTTTTGAGGAGTCCGATTGAACAATTTGTCTGCAGCATTCCATTTTATTTTTCTCCGATACAGTGTTCATATTTTTGTCTTTTGCACTGATGACAAGCTATGTTATTATAATGGTTAGTTTTTTGCAGATATTTTTTCTTTGTCATCATTAATAGTAGAGTTGCTTGTCAAGTTACGATTCACTTTGATATGGTTGTCTTGGATAATAGGTGTGGGCACAAGCATAAAGAAGAAAGGTGCATCCATGTTAATCTGAGTGGGTGATTAGCTGGCGAGATGGTAGGTGCGCAGCATAGCGACGTTCTGCGCTCCCTTGGTCTTGTATCACGTGCAAGTCGCCGACACGTCGCTTTACCTCTATCATGGAATACGCTTCTCAAACATGGCAAGGGAAAAGACTTGGCGATGATGTTGACACTGCTTGGAGCAGGCAGCATGGGAGCTTTTATAGCAATGCGATATGCATTCAAGACTCCTGTGGCACTAACATTTTCTTGGACTGACAATAAGAAGGCATCAGCTGATGTGAAGAACAAGGCTGACCCGGAGCTCACTATAGCTGGGTTGCAAAATATGGGGAACAATTGTTTCTTGAATGTTGTACTTCAGGTATGCGCACTCCTCTTAATCTTCCCTCCCTAAAAAAGCAAAGAGTACAAGGGAGCCCTCAAGCATGTCCAAAGGGATCGCATGTTTGCACTATTTGGTTTAAGTTGCCATCGAATGGCATAGGAGTTTGGAGTTGTAGGGTTTTGAAACTTCTAGGTCGTTGACATCGTGGTGCGATTTGAACAGGCTCTCGCAAGCTCAGATGTCTTAGTCTCTTTCATGGAGGAGTGCGCAGGAGTGATTGACACGCAAGGAGTGCAGGCTGAACGAACCACAATGCCACTTGCAGCTGCTGTTGCTGACCTCTTAAGAGGTGCGATGCCTTCAATATCTACACTCATATGACGTATAGGAAGAAGTAATCCGAAGCATCAATGAAGATGTTATTGTAGATCCTGCTTCCAATGCCTAGTAGAGCGTCTGATGATCTACAGTCGATGAACCCCATGTGCATGTGGAAAATTACGAATGATTCAGTTAGAAATTTGCAGAATTGGCACAGGGTCAGATTGCACGCCGGATTTTAAGTCCACGCAAGGTGATGCTCGCGCTTAACCTTTATTCTCGGCAGTTCGATCTTTCTATGCAACAGGTGAGTTATCTAGGTGTGGATAGGTTTTCTTCTTATTTTTAATCTAGAAAATGACTCATTTGATACGTTCATGATGCAATATGCCACTTGAAATTTTAATGAGATCGGCGGGGTTTCAATTGAATTTGATATACATAAAGAATATATTTTTTCGTCAAACTTCTTTTGTCAAGAAGTTCGCACACCCTCTCCCTGATCTGTTTCTTTTTTGACAGGATGCAGCGGAAGCTCTTGCTTATCTTGCAGCAGGCTTGCAAGAAGAGCGAGATAAATACTTGAATTTGCATAGGCCTGTTAGCCAGTCGTTTGGAAGTGTACTGGACATGAACTTAGCTACCCCTCAGCTAGACCAATCTTTGCTACATTGGCCATTGGAGGGTACTCTTGGTAGCTTGATGACCTGCCAGCGGTGTGATTTCCAGGTGAGTTGTTAGGAAATAAGGAGTATACGCTACATCATATTGGCTGTGTGATTTAAGCCCGATTTTATGCTCTATCCGATTCATTGTATCCAATTTTCAAACTGCTGATGCTGTCATTTATTTTATTTTATTTTATTTTTCTGAAACATGTTGCACATGCGCCCTTCGATCGCTACAATTTCAAATTGCTCCGATTTTTGTGTGCAGTTCTCGACAGTGTTTCAATACTTTAATGACATTTCGCTCCCGCTATCCCGACGGACTGATGGCAGTATTGTAAGCATTCTTGTTTTTATAATCTTATCTTTTCAAACTTATTTACTTATCGTATCAAAGTACAGACGATAAAGTGTTATTATTGGGAATCTACCCGGCTGAAGTTGCTAGTAACCAACCAGTTGGGTGCTTGATGTAACGATGGTTTGTGGATGTCTGACATTTTGAAACGTTCCTAACGGATCTAAAAGCAACCTTGATTTGATGATTCTGACTATGTTGTCGCATGTGGCAAGTAGTTCATAATTGTTCGTTGTCGTAGCTTGAATTCAAAGAAATTGTGTTAGCTATTCTTAGGAAATAAAATAGTAATAATGATATGAGGTACCGGGCAGATTGACAACTGCACACTGGAGGATTGCTTGGACCGTTTCACAGCCCCGGAATGGGTAGCTAGTGTCAAATGCAGCCATTGTGCTCACATGGAAGCAAGTAAAGTACTGCGCTCCCAAATGGATAATACCGATTTGACTACTGATCAGGAGCAGTTAGATGTACATATCATTCAGGTAATAACATATTACAAGTCAGGGTCAGCTGCCAAAAAGTAGTTGGGAGCGTCGATTTTACTGAATAGGTCTGTTGAATCTGTTGAGAAGGGCTTGTGAAAGATGATGGATTGTTGTGGTTTAGAAGTTCTGCAGAATAGTGCTTTTCAACATTGAAACGCCATTCTTACTCTTTTCTTTACGTTGATCTCTTAGATTCCGTTATCAAGTTACAATTGGTCTGCAGGAAAAGATAAAAATCATAGAGGACTGTAGCTGTGATGATGATTGTTCATGTGAAGCTTTGGTCCTTAAACAAGGCGGGGTCTGGAACTCTGTGCGCACCAACGCCTCCAAACGCCTTCGAATTGGCCGTTCTCCTGAGGTATAATATTTTCTGAATGGGTTTAGTTTACTCAGGCACATAAACGGTATACTCATACTGTATGCAAGTGGTTTGAAAGCTCGATTTTGGATGCAATGATATCTTAATTTCTTAAGCAGGTTCACTGTGTCTTCATTTGAACTCCAGTACGTATTTAAGACCTGCTGCTTGATTGTTTACAGGTGTTGTGTCTTCAAGTTCAACGCGCAGTGGTAAATGAGGTCGGAGAACTGAGAAAACTTTCGGTAACTTTCCACTTAATGTCCCTCTTGGTTAAAGAGATCGAAACTTTATTTTCAGTTCTTGCTGTGTTCAACTATGCTTCTGTTCAATTTGATGTGGTGTTTTAATTATTTCCATGCGTGATTTGCTATCTGGCATCTGCCAAAGTTGTGACAAGCCTTCTTTACACTCATTTTATGTCTTTGTCGTTTCATCTACTTACTGAGGAATTAATTGACCATGGTTTTTGTGAAATATCTGAAATGAACAGGGACATGTAAGATTTCCAATGATTCTGGACCTGTTTCCATATACAGTTGCTTCTCAAGAAAATAAAGTCAGAATGATTGATACCAGGACTGAAGACCATGGTAAATCATCTATTCGGATGTTGGGGCAACGTGGAGTGGTGTTTTCTCACATCAGGAAATTACAAGGTCCTGGTTATTCAAGTTTACTGTTTCCTCTGGAACGGGGAATCAAAGGAGGTTCAAAGTCAAGTACGCAAACAGATGATGTGTTGAGCACTACGGAATCCGCAGATGCGAGAGTTACAACAGAAGATGTAGTTACTGATACTGTCAGTGACGAAAGTTTGGTACTTGAGGACTCTCTAGCAGATCTTGCAGCAATGAATAACCAGGCCATCACCAAAAACAAAGAAGCTCGTGATCTCACTCATCAAGAGACCCCTAATTCTGATGGAACGTCCATGGTACGAGATGTTTCTACAATGAACATTCAGGATGGTTGATTCGTCTTATCCAGGTCAATATACGGTAGTTTATGATATTGCGATGATTATGAAGTCAGTAGAAATGTCAGTGCAATGGTTTTCTTTTACCACTCTTTTTGTTGTATTCTCACGAGTTGATTCTTCAGGTGGATATTAGTGATGCCTCCAGTTCAGAAACCATCACTTCATCAACTCCTGGTTGCTCTGGCCTTGGTTAGTTTTCTCTCCAGTAGTTCTGAATATTATACGACTATCTAATGGCTCAATGAAAAACCCGTTCAATGCTACACGTATAGTATCTGAGATAATGTATGCAGCAGCAGATTATTTATTTATTTATTAACTTCAGATATCTAGAATGTTTTTCTCAAGTGACAGGTTAATTGTAGGTTCAAATTTCTATGGAGTTTCTTGTGCTTTAAGATAGCGGTTTGAGGAACAATGATGCAATCACATTTTATGTCCTACGTACTGTTAAGAGTTGCTGCCTCCAGTATTTGTCATCGTAGCAAACCATGGAAGCCTGAGAACAGCAACGAATTCTTGCTTGATTTGTTGGTTGCCCCGGATGTTCTTGTAGATCGACATAGTATTCAGGTTTCTGGATCAATCAGGCCACAGAATGCTCAAGCGGAGAGAACTTTGACCTCACGGAAGTTGTTGTATGAGCTTCTGTCTATTGTTGTACACCACGGAGGTCCACATAGCGGGCATTATACCGTCTATCGAAAGGTAAGGTTACCTAAAAGCAGGGACTCTAAAGTGAAGTCCGCCGAAGAAGACTGTGCTGGTCTGCTTTGCCACACAGAGGTGCGAGAACATTCCGAGAAGGTTGAAATTGATGCAACGGTCACTTCAAGAGTCTTGGAGCAATTGCAGGATGGCAGAGAGAGACTTAGGGAGGCTACGGAGGAAGGAAATGCAAGAGACGAGGAGATTGTTCTGTGGTTCAAGGTTTCTGATAGTAATGTCCGACGAGTAGAGGAGCTGGAAGTACTTTTGGCGAATGCCAGCTTATTATTTTATGAGCGTTTGACTAATTCATGACACCTGGCCGTTCATCATGATGCATTGTGTCAAGTTGGTTCGATATGTTTGAAGCCTTGCAACTGTTTCCAGCATATAGGTAAGTGTTATTTGTTATCTTTGCAACTGGTGCTGCTACTAACAGCCTGCTTGCTTACCTCCGTCTATGGTAATTGGTATCCTAAGGTTGATTACTTTGTCACAATTTACAGAATTTTGCTAACCTATACACTGTATTACCCTTGCAGTCGATTCTCATTTGCATGTCAAGAAACAAGTGAAATACCTATAGTTTACACCCTCATTTTACTTCTGGTACTCAGATTTGAGGCGTAGAACTAATGATCTCATCTGCTTTTCAACGTACGATTGCAGTCCACTAAATGTGGTAAGCAATTTTCCTTAAGCCCTTCTCAGATCATCCACGATTTTCAGAGGACATAGTTGACAGATTATATATTACTTCACTCTTGTGAATATTGGAAGAGTTTGTGTTAGGTATTTTATCCGATCAGTTGCAGAAACTCTTTCTAGGTTTGACATCTAAGCAGCTATGGTTGACTCTGCAGGTTTGGATTACGAATCTCTTCTGCCGTTAACTTTTGCAAGTAGGTACATACAGTGAACATTGTTAAGTCCAATTCCTAAGGGCAAGGATTACTGATTCTTAAAATTGTACTTCACTAAGGTGCCCTGTTTCATCACAAGCACTCAATTCATTTTCATGAGATATTTCCGCTTCAATTTTAGATATTTCGCTTTGAATGGACAGAAGGTGACGATCAGTTACCAGCACTTTTGAAGGTCAATCAGCATAAGATCACGTCCTAAATTTGCCCAGGTCTACATCCACTTATCATTTTCGTGCAACCATACCCTGTCTGCAATTAGTACTGTAATTTTGGTCATTAGTATGAATTATTATTGCAGTAATCATCAGTATGCATACTTATTGAAGCGATTTTGGTCAATAGCATGGATAATTATCACTGTGATAGTGCATTTCACTTGTGGCACATTATGGTTCCTTGTAATAAGTGTCAGTAAAATTTGTTAATATGGAATGATGACCACAATTACATCAGCTCAAATTCATAAAGTACCCCAGTGCTTCCTATGATTGATGATACTATGCAAACAACCATGATGACTGAGTTTATTCTGGGTATCTGTCACAGGTATCATGACTGGGTTTGGCATCCTTCTCTCAATTTCTGAGGAAAATGCTTTCTGAATTCACTCATCATCTTGAAGCACAGTTATGAAAAGGATTCATGTGTTCACTTCAAGCTCATGTCCTAGGCTCTATCTAATTTATGTAAGATTTCCTTCTTTTTTTATTGGCTCCACTGATGTGGACTTGTAACTATTATATCTTTTTTCACGTGTGGTTTGCCATCTTGTAAGATCTATCTCTGCATCTCAAAGTCCTTGATACAAATGCATTTTCAGACATAAAAGCCTTTACTCTTTCACCAAAACACATTAATAAATATAAAACTTTCCTAGATTTTTACCGATTTATATAAGAAAAATTCTCTCAAGGGAAAATACAATATTATGTTCATTATTTTACAAAAGAATATATTATTTTGCTTATCTTTTCATGCATTGAAGCTAAACACCACAACAAAATTATTATTTATCATAGTAAAAAATAACTTAAATGAAAAAACTTATAAGTTAATAAAATAAAAAATTATCTATGAAATAAATGCAATTTCACTTTCACTAACATTTATATTTTTTAATCTCTTCTTTGTCTCACACCCACCTCTTGGTACTAACTATACATCTAAAGCTTGACACTCCACATGGACATTCAATGCCCTTAGATTGTGGGAATTGTGGTTGTCGTTTTACTTATTCTACAAATTTCTTTCAGAATAACCATATAGAGGGAGATTCAAACACATGGAAAGACTAATTATATGAGCTTACACGTTAGGGTCACACAATTAACTATATTTTGAACCACTATAAAGACCAAAGAACACTACAATGCTTTCTCCCACTAATAATACTCCTTCATCAACTGATAACAACAATGTACAATCCTGCACTTTCAAAAGACTACTCAAAACATACAATTTCCATCTAACATTGGAAATAACAGTCTTCCACTCCAACCAATCTCGCTTCACACAATTTTTGTAATCATAGACTTCTTTTGTCAAAATACATACAACTCTCAATTCACAACAATCATAATCTTCCATCCAGAATCAATCTTCCACAGAATCTGATAACAAATTTCCAATATCTTCTCATAATAATTCAATCACACAGTACTTCAATTACATACTTAATATCTCATAAATCAATTCTTGATTTATTCCACAGATTCACTTCACAGTATTTAGAAATTATCCATTACTCTTCAACTATAAAGAAAACAAAGAGAATAAAGAGAACAAAGAGAACAAAGAGAACAAAGAGGTAGCACCAAACTTACTTCGGCTCATGACTATCACAATTTGATTCCTCCAATATTTTCTTCAACTTACTTATGCTTTACTTCTAAAATTCTAGATTCTAACCATTATTCCCTACTTAACCATTTTTTACAACTAATTCAATTATCCAACCTAGCTTGAATTGAATTGACAATCCTAAGACTGATTAATCTACTTTATCCATATCTTACAAAAACGAATTTCTATCCATTCTACATAGTCCTACTTTTAATTGTGCAGTGTCTTCACAAACTTAGAATTGATACATATTTAAAAAAAAACTACTTAAAAAAACTTTAAAAAATTGCTATTCCTTTGGTCAACCCAATTGATCAATTTTTACATTATCGATTGTTGATTCCACCAATTTTGGTTCCAAATGTAAACTTTCATCCTCCTCCAATCCTTCTATTAGCTCCTTCCTCAACTGGGCTGGAAGGTCTTCATTTTACTCTCCCAATTCACAGATTTGAGCCTCCAATTTCAGGATCTGGGCAACTCTCAATTCCAACTGGTGCTGATACTGACTCATTTCTTCTAGAACTTTAAAAATTGGCAACATAGATACATGCAACTCACCACTATTGACTAAATCATATGTCAATTTTTTCACCTTAGTGTTCAAGGCCTCAATTTCAACCCTTAATTGCTTGGTTTCACATTTGTATTAGTCACTCAATATTGCTTTCTCTTGTGCCAATAACTCAGCCTTTTTCTTGTTTAGCTTGCAACTGATACTTGACTTTCTCCCATTCTAAATCCCATGTCCAATAACACTGGAGTAATTCTTCTCATTGACCTTCCACAATCTATAAGATGCATTCTTTTTCTTTCATCCAAGCTTCCTGTTTCTGTAAAAACCTGTGCTCCAATGTCAACTTGGACTTTACATTCTCTTGGATGATCCATTCTTTCTTTGCAATTCTTTAGTTCTGCTCAGATATCATCTTTTTTGCTTACCTCTAATTTCTGTTTGTTACTGCCCTCTACATACAATACTCAAACTATACAATATATTTATAAAATGTACTTCAATAAAGCATTCTTAAGGTGTACGCATTCTGATAGCCGGCCATGTAGAAATACCAACTGATTGATATCTAACGAAATGGAGACTTCATTCTCTTCCTCTATTGCCGAATAAATTGGAGTCGATTCTGGTACAACTTTTGGAATTGCCTTTTGTGCCAATGTATGATTGGATTCTCCAATTTCATGCACTACATCCCTTGAATTGGCAGTCAGTGCCAAGAAATTCCATTCACCTTCTTGAAGTATTGGCAAGGGTACATTTCCCTCTGCTATTGGCATTGCTTGGCTCAATATAAATGTAATCAATGCATACACATAGTCGGAACAGAGCAACGATGTAAACTTCCTTATTTTGTACTTGGCTCCTATTTCCACATGAATACGAGTTGCTACATAAGTTGCCCAATTGAATACCATCCTTTCAAGTATCCCTACTATTGCAAATAATAATCGTCTTGATATATATGTGGTATGTCGGTACAAGCCTAAATGCCTCAACATGAAGCGCAACCATTCCATGAGCTATGGTATAATTGCTTGAGCCGCCCGCCAACTTTGGTTCTTTTCAAATGATGACATTCCACCACAAGCTCTCCAATTGGAAGATACATCACCTTTTTTAGGATCATCTCATCAATACTGATAATATGCCTTTATACTACACTCAATCCATCCTCTAGGTCATAGTTCACGATGCATTCTTTTGTTAATACCACATTAATTGATGGCAAGCTATCTAACCTTTGTAAAAACTGAAACATTTGTACATTTCAAAAATCTCATATTCTTCTTGGCATCTAGCAGATCTCCAATTTTATAGGCTCCATATTAGTAACGATTACTACGGATGGTGGTTCCAAATTGTGTTTAGCTTTCACATTTTGTGCACTTTCATCTCTGTCTGTAGTTCTCTTTGCACTGTCAATCGCCATGTCGCACACTCTTCCAAGCTCTAACCATCAATGCTACTCTCAAGTATTCTCGAAACACAAGAAATTGTAATATAGAAAAACAGCAATAGAATGCAAGATCAGATAATGGCCTTGAATGGGTGCCCCACTCCTATTCCTTTACGAAGTGGTGATAATGACAATATGATATCCATACTGTCTAGTACATCTGCCGTCCCATCTGACCTACTACTAATTACATTTCTAACTATCTTTTTAGTCGTCTCTACACTCTAGTCCATCTAAATTAATAATTATAGCCTCAAGGAAAAATTGAAACCCGTTTTAGATTTTAAATACAATATAGCCTTAAACGGTTCCTGTTAATACGTGTATTGAATTGATGGCCTATAAAATCTTCCAATTGGACTGATTCATTAAAAAATCCTTCAATCACCCGATATGGACCATGCCATCGGATTTGAAATTTTTTTGAAAAATTATTAAAACAACTATTATAAAGCAAGATCAAATCATTGGACATAAAACTCTTAGGTTATAGTTTACTATCATAGTAACTCTTCTATCGTTAAAAGAGTAGTAGCCCAAATTTTATCTGATTCTTCGAATTTTACCAACCGATATTATACGGACTCTTTATCACTCAGTCATTCATCCACTGTGATTCATAAACTCTGAACTTCTAATTCGATAGGTAAGATCACTTTTTGTCCATAAACCAATTTGAATGGAATGGAATTAGTTGTCACTTTATATGCTGTATGGTATGCCCATGAAGTTGCAAATAATTTGGTATCCCAATCCGTGCCCACCCCCAAAATAGTCTTAATTAATATCTTACATAAAATATCGTTGGTCTTTTCTATTTGTCCATTAGTTCTAAGATGATATGGAGTTATTTTATTATGCTTGATCTTGTACATGTCCGTCAAAGTTGCAATTGTAGAATTAATGAAATGGGTTCCGCAATCACTAACCAATTCTTTAGGACACCGAAATTGAGTGATAATATTTTCATATAAAAACATGGTGATAGTATTTGTATTATCATGTCAGGTTGTAACAGCCTCTGCTCATTTGGTTATATAGTCCTTGGCAATTAAAATATACTGTTTTTGTCCATATCTCAACGTTAGTGTAATTGATCTAACAAAATCAATTCCTCATTTTTCAAATGGTGCTTGGGCCAAAATTGGTACTAATGGCATGGCAGAAGTGCCTATTGGTCGATCAATTCTTTGATATGGATCACATCAGCAAACATATTGGTGTGCATCTGAAAACATTGTTGGCCACCAATATCTGGCCAGTAGAGGTTTTTGAATAGTACTATCGCCGAAAAAATACCCACTACAACTATCCAAGTGGCAATCGTCCAATATCGACTATACTTCATTTTGAAAGATATAGCATCATAAAATACCATCCTTTCCTTGCTTATACAAAGCATCACCAATCATTGTATATTGTGCACTTTTTAAAATTAAGAGTTTTTTAAGTTTCTCACTAAATGCAGGTCAAAATATTTGGAATGTCAAAAACTGAATTATTTCACTATATACCAATGAAATCACATCCACAGCAAATAAATCAGCATGAAAAAGTACATCAAGACTATGTTCATTATCCAGGTATTGGACAATTGAGATAAATGGTCAACATTCGCATGGTTCTTCCCAAGTCTTACGATAATAGTAAAATTAAATTCTTGTAGTAGTAATATCCATCTGGCAATGCATCCACTCAATTGAGGCTTATTAATCATATATTTTAAGGCATCATGATCCACATAAAACAAAAATACATAATCCAATAAATAATGTCAAAATTTTTGAACCGAATATATCATACCCAAAGCTTCTCATTCAATCGTAGTGTAATTTCGTTTGACAACTATTAATTATCGACTGGCATAATATATTAGATGATCCAAATTCTTTTTATCCTTCTGACTTAATACAGATCCAATAGCA